TGGTTAGAACTGACCGTAGGTCACTATGATCAGATTGCTGATTAGCAGAAGGCTGTTCCTGATTTTTCGGTACAGATCTAAATGCTGACAGATTTGCCTGATCAGGTTTTTTTGATCTTTGAGGCAATCCGCTTATATTACTGACTAATTCAGTGTTAAGGGATAAAAATGGCTGAGACACAATAAATGATTCTGTGCTGTCATTACCTGATATACTGACTTTATCATTAATCACACTTGTGCTTAGCAAAGTTCTCTCACGAAAATTTGACCTTTCCATCCTTGAAGTCTTAGGCACATCAGAATTACATCCTAAATTACGTGGTTTAACTGTATTAGTTGCATCACTTTGTGGAACACAATCTACTCTGTAAGCCACACAGTGAAAAAAATTAGAGGGTAACTGGTGTGCTGAGTACTCACTAGAGGTTGATGGAACACTTCTGTCAGTGGTGGATGGTGCTGGATCAACTGATACAGGTTGCCTACTGTCCTTAGACAAAAAATCGTGAATGCTTGTCCTTCGAGTAGTTCCTTCTGCCGTAGAAATCACGCTACTTGCACGAGGTAAGGTAGCATAGGGATTGCAATCTCTTGATTGTCGCTGTGACACAGTTGCTTGTATCTTTTCTTTAACTGATTTGGCCTTCCCTTGAGCGCCTAATGTAAATTTCATTGGAGAGCTAGTAAAGTAGGTATCTTCAGTTTTACGAAGGCTGGGCCTTACAAGTTGTTCTGGTTTAACGGCTCGTCCATCTGAAAAATCAACTGTATTTTTCACACTTAATGATCTCACAATACCACAGCCAGTAGACTGCTGTTTTCTTAGCTTTTCCTTTCCTGTCAGCTCCACAGACTCAGATAAGCTTCTCATGACTTCATCTAAAAGATTCTCCTCACTTGTAGATTTCGTCTGTCAAAAAAATGAAACACCTCATAAATTTATAAATTGTAATTTTGACACTTCTTAAGCAATCTTTGTGGACATAAATGAAAAAATGGTTAAAAAGGGGTTTTTTTTTTTTAATTTCTCAGATCTAAAAGCAGTATTAAACATTTATGTATTATACACTCACGAGTTTTCTGTACAGCTTACAAGAAAGTACTAGGTGTCAGATAGATCACAACTATCTGGAATTAGTTTCTGTAATACTGATTAACTCAACAAATCAGATTATCAAATCTTCAAGTTTATCTCACTCACATGCTCTCTGCCATCGCTCATCAACACTTCCTAAGCAATTTTAACTTATACTGATCATCCAGAGTTAAAAGCTTAAATCTCTGTACACTCAAATAATAAAGACAAAAATCTCAGAAAGTAATACAAAGCATGTAACATTTAGGCACCCTTGGTACCCAAAGTTGGACTGGACAGCTACCTATTTTTTCTTTTGAAGAAAAGACTTCAGAGATAGTTAAAAAAAGTTTAGGTGAATACTCAGTGAAGAAAGATTTCAATCTTTTTCAAAATGGTAAAAAAGACAATTTGGAAAGAATTAACCTAAGAGCATTAAGGAAATGCTCTAGCAGAAAGCTGAAAAGAGACCTCTTCAATATCCTTCCAACCTGAAAGATCCTGTGACGCTATGAAAGGGATCCTGTGACGCTATGAAAGGGATCCTGTGATTCGTGAACAGCAGCAGACTAGACTTGATGACTCAGGTTCTTTTATTTCTATTACCAGAACAGTATTGTCTAATGCTTAAAAAACCAAATCCTTGTCAGACAGACCACAGGTGAGAGCTAATTTTAAGTATTTAACAAAAAATCCAGAAACAGTACAGATTCAAGTCACAGACTACCCCAGTCAGTTCAGCTGTGAATGTATATTTTTCAGTTTCAGCTGTTTTGTCAGAAAGAGATGGAGTCTGATCCTTACTCTTGGTAGGCCCTATTCACAGGAACTGGCTTGCTTTATCCTACAGCACTTCTAGGTTTTGGACAGATCTACTCTAGAACTAGTGACGAAGAAATCAGAACACTAGCAGAGACAAGGCAATTTGGGGCTTCTAACAAACCATCACTGATTTAGAGAGATATCTCTTTGCCTTATTCCTCTCAGATGTCAATGAGCTCCAAGGTCAGTTTTTTTGCCCAGTACAGTTGAAAAGATGAAACTGAAGCAGACAGAGTCTCTCCTCAGGGAATGAAATAAAACATCTTCCTCCCTGTTGATGTAAGACAGATCTGACAACAGCTCTTACTGAAGGCAAAGTGCCGAACTGGAAGAAGAAAAGTAAACCTACTTTGAGTTCATGGCCTTCCATCTGAACTCTGATGAGTGTACTATGCATCAGCACACTAGACAATTCTGTGTGGTAGAGATCGACTTTCTTAACTAATTCAGTAACCTGGAAAGGGTCAAACTGTGAAATTCCAAATGATTTTGTGTGTAATACAGCATTTATAGTTTATCAGAATACAGTCCACACTACTTCTTAACGCAGGCCTAACCAGTACCTCCACGAAGTTTTAAAGCAATTCTATGCACCCTAAGTCTTCTATTAATTCTGTGCCCATATATAGGATAATTAATACATAGTTAAAATATTTTTTAAACTAACCTCACTTGAGGTGCTTTTGTTGCTTTCTTCTAAAAACTGTTGCAGGGTAACAACTTCACTTCCAGGAGAACCAGTTTTGATCTGTTTTCCACGACTATCCAGTGTTTCAGATGTTCTTTGCTGGAGCACAGGACTAGACCTTGTATGACCTTTCAAATACTGAACAGGACTGCTGCTGCTGCTAGACCAAGCCTCATGTTCATGCAGCAGACTAAATTCTCCGCTGCTGTGACTTTGCGGCCTGCTTTGATTGTTAACTGCACCTGCTTTTGGAGTAAATGGTATTAAGTATTCCGTAAGAAAAATATATGAAAGCTATTAACAGTATAACCATACTCAAATCTGGAACACTATCAGATTCAGTCAACAATAATTCTATGTAAAATACTAAAAAATCCAGTTGTCCTTTTCTACTCAAACCAAATCTATTATTAATACAATTGCACTCCCCTGACTTACCTCTTACAGCTCTTTAAACAGGACCTGATAGCTTTTCAATAAAAAACTACCTTTCACTTACAATCTGGGCCTCCATCTACAGAATACTATAAGATACGCCTCCACTCTTGTTCAGTATCACTGTGAGGCACACACTCTAATACACTATTAATAAGTTTTACATTAAATGAAATACAAAGGATTGAATGGAAAGAAAACACTTTCTTCAACATAGTTTTTCAACAAGAACTATTTAGGAATGCTGCTTTTCCAACAGTTTCTGCCATTATTTCTAATTTATTACAACAGTGACCTGAAGGAAGGATATGGCATTAAATACAAAATAAATTCCACAACATAAATTCTTTTTATTTTTAATAACTGCGACTTGCTAAAAAATACTGGTGAATAATTAAGTATTCCCTACTTCATATTATTAAGAAATGAACTTAAGTTTCAAGAAAGATAAATTGTTTAAAGGAGAAACTATACAGAAACTGGCGCAAAGACTACCTCAAAGGATCTTTTACAGAAGGGAATAATCAAAGAGAGAAAAGAAACTAATAAAAATGTTACACTAGCATCCATCTCTAAATTTCCAAAGAGATACTGTTTAATAAATGTAAGCTATGAATATTAAATGAAGGCTTGAGTTGTCAGCGTTCTAGTCTAGTATGTACAATGATCTCCAGCTAGAATGGCCATTATAAACAAAAATATATCAAGGCTCACAATATATGAAATTTAGCGAATATTGTTAATCCAAGAACATTATTTACCTTTTAAAAACAAAATATAAAAGTTTACAGGATGGTATTATAACTGCTATTTTGTCCAGTTTGTGTTGTACACTATACAGCTTTACAGCAGCAGTGAACGCATAGTAGGATGCTACGAGAAAAAAATAGAGCAACTTCTCTGCTTAAAAATAAGCAATTTTAAAGTCATTGGAGGGAATTCTTATTTTGTAACACTGTTACTTGGGTTAGGTTTGGTTTAAAATACTTTGAAACTTATATAGTAATATCAACCTTTTAGTACTTATTAAAAACGTAAGTTCTATTAATACTTGTATCCTTTCCTAATTTGGGGAATGAAGGCTACAAAATGCTTAAAGAAAAATATGCTGTGGTGTGTTGTGGGAATATTTTTCCTTAAAGCTATATAATGATCTTACAGAGGAAAATAATGGAAATTAAGCATGTATGTAAATTCACCTACAGCATACCTTTGACTTCATGGAGTGAAGCATTGTTATTGCTATTGCTAGTGGATGTTCTGCCACTATCAAGGCTGGCTGGTCTGGAAGCTAAATGGAAAATTAGGAGACACCATGATGAACAAAATTCTAGCAGATGCCACGGTACCTTTACATTCTGATCACAGAATGCTCAGAGGCAGGAATCATGCACTATTTCACAGGCTGAGCATGCCCATTGTCAACAAAGTGGTTTCTTACAGATCAGAAAGCGAAGGGATTTCCAGGCAGTCCAAGAGGACACTTTAGAAAAGGGCACTACAGGAATAGTAAGGTACAAGGGAAAGGAAAAGAGAAATAGAGTGTACGTTTAGAATTGAAACTGATTGGTTAGTGGGAAACCAGGATTTTACAGATGAAAGGATGGACATGCAGAAAGCTGCTTGTGATTAGGTCACTTACAACAGATTTGACAAGGAACCTTGCACATTGTTGAAATGCCACGAACAGGAGGAGCAAGAGCATCTGCACAGATAATGTCCTGTACTCCTATCCAATACAAGGGAAATGCACAGTTATCATCTTCAAAAATGTTTATTGTTTATACTAGTATTTAAGTGTTTAGAGTTAAATTTCACTTCTAAATAATCTATTATAGCTCTCACTTCATAGCTTTGCTTGAAGGAACATGTAATGATTTTATAAAATACAGTATATGAATGAGTTTACATTTCACTGAACAATAAACATTGAAAAGTCAGGACAGATCTGTATTTGGTTTGTTGTTTTTTTTTCAAGATTGAAATGATAACTTCTTTTATTTTACTATTAACACCAAATACATTTTTAAAAGGGAAAAATGTTTTGATCCTGTTCAGATGCACTTCACAGATACTTTCTATTAGAGATATAGAACATCTATCTGATGTAGTAAAGAAAGAAAAGAATAATCTGAAGAAATGATACTATGCATTCAAGAGAGATGCAAATCACAGAAAGCATGCTCACTTGTAACTGTGCCATTCACTTTTCTTTTCCCCCAAACTTTGTTAACATTCACATAAAATATTCTTAATTCATTTAATTCAAGTTCACATCTTACCATGAACTCTTGATCCTGTACTAGAATCATCACTAATACCTTGTGGACTTACATCTTCAAAGGATGTAGTATCTATACACAGAGACATAAAAGAAGGTGTAAAATAAAATAAAGTGAAAATATTATTGAAATATTTATCTGTCAAACATACTAAAACATTTTTCACACCGATCCATTTTTAATTAGGTAACGTTCATAAAATCCTGAAGCATTTTATAACTGCATTTATTAAACTTACTCAGTATCTTAGCACTTCAAATCAATTATTAAGATTGCTTTTTGCTGAAAAAACTTAACATATAAGTAAAACCAACAGTTATATGAAATTGCTGTTACACATAGTCACATCAGGGTGCAAGAAGCTTCTACCTATACCTTTATTATTTAGCAACTGCTTGGATCTGAAGCCTGTAGAAGAGTTGACAGTTGCAAAGTTGATAGCTGTAGTAGAGAAGGCCATAGCTCCCAATTCTTTCCTCCTTTTACCCGCAGATATATCATCAGGACCCTCCAGATGCTCAGAACTACCTGTCCATTGTCCTCCTGCTAGGACCATGGACTGCACCAGGTCATTCATGGCTGGGATGCAAATGAAAGCAAATGATCAGCATGGTCAATGTATTTGCTTCTGTTCTCATTTTGTATCGCAAAACGTTTGACAGTTTTCTAAGCGTTAAAGCGCGTACTGAATACTGGAAGATATAAACACAAGATCATCCATGTTATGACATGCAATCAGCTCAATGAATGAGAAGTGTTGTAAGTCAGAGACTACTTTCAGCTCAGTATGGTTCTTAAAACTGATTTTATTAGGTATAATTGCCATGCTTGCGCTGCAATGATATGCAGTATGTCTATTAGAAGCTTTGATATACTGTTTGCAATGATAAAATGGAATGAATAAGGATAAAATGGGCAAAGGTGCTAATACAATATAATGTCAACAATGATACGGGATCCTTGTACAGTGCAGGTTACTGCAGGGATACTGTATTTTACATAATACCAAATAAAAGGATCTGAAAAAGATGATGTCTGATGATATTCACCTTTACTTCACAAAAGTAGAGAAAATTGTCCACCCTCATTACAAAATAAAATAAAATAAAACACATACAGCATTTTGGCAACAACAACTGAGGAATACTTGAAGAGTGACAGACCACCATACAGCCTTGTACTATTTTCTACACTTTCTGTAAACAAAAAATTTCAGTGATTTCTTAACAAAAGGCTTATGAAATGTGTAATTTAGAACTATTTAGGTTAACACAGTGCACTGTAAATTTATATACACAGACACGTGTATATAGACAACCATGTATACAAATATATGCAATCACAATGCACTGAATATATATATATATGTATGTGCTTATGTGTGTCAATGTGTGGGTATGTGTGTGCATGTGTGCACATATATAAAGTATTCAGTGCCAAGGTTTAAAAAATAAAAAAAAATAAAAAAAATAAAAAAAGAAAAAGCTCCAGCTCCTTGTATTGTAGCAGGCCTTGCACATTGCAAAATAGGAGGAAAAATACAGCGCAGTCCAGGGAGAGGTTAGTGAAAAATTAGTAATGGAAGCCAGTGTAGCCATTTAAAAGAAGCTGAACTGTCATAAAGTCTTACACATGGAGCGACGGTAGAAGGCCTTCATTTTGTCTTTTTCCTTCGGTCTGTTCCTCAAAAAGGGCAGTCTTTTCAGTGCAACCACTTTTATGTCATAGCATGAGGAAAAACGGAAACAGGGAAATGAAAGAAAAAAAGGGAGAAGAACAGATGGAAGTTAAATGTTGAAACTAAGGACAGAAATGAATGTCTGAGTTCAAGCTATGTTTGCTATGCTACAAACTATCATTGTCATGCTTCTGTGTGATAATGAAATATGAAAACTACACTGAAATATGAAAACTACACTACAAAAACTTTAATATACTCAGAAATGCACCAAAAATAATGAAGAGTGTAATACAGTTTTAACTGCCAAGCTTGTCAAAAAATAAATGTAACTTCTTTGCAGACGATTATGTAGTTTTTACTGTGAAAAACAACATTTCTTGAACATAAAAATATGAAGCAAAAAAACCTTAAAATGAAAGCAACTCTAAATACAACTTCTACTTTTCAGATATGTTCACCTATTTTTTTTTTTTTTTCTGAGATTAACAACTTTTGTCATGTTTTTCCCCTGCATCTCTAGTAGGACACAATTTATTATTAGTCTTCATTTGTTAACAAAATAATTTTGGTCATCTACTGTCTTGTAGAGAAATTACATGGACCTTATGTTCAATCTACTGTTTGTGTGCAGTGATTTTAATATTTTACTGAAATAATCCACATCAAATCTGTAATAAGAAAAAATAAAATCAAGATTTATTGGCTAGGATGATATACACCAAATTTTTTAGCTGAAAAAATACCGAAGATTAAAAAAATAGCAAAAGAAAATCCAAATGTGAGTGCTGTTGTAACATTTTGGGAAGGCTAAGGGAAAACTGAGATACATAATATCAGGAAATAGTTAAAATTACAACCAGTATTAAAAGATGGAGGAGGAGGAAATCACAAGTTAATCTTGTCCTTAGCATCAGCTGTTCTGCATTAGTAACTGATTACTGGCAGACACCTGCATTTTGAAGCATCAGATAAACGCGTCAGCTGACTGCCAAGCACACAGGAGCCACATGCAAACAAGTGGCATGTTAAGATCCAGAAAGAAATGCATAATGAAATTACAAAATTACCAAAAGGTTCTTATTTATGCAGATATGAAAGCAGCGTAGTCCAGTCTATCAGCCCGAGATCTGCTTGCTTTATCTCTCCGAAGGCACTTTTGGGACACATGCATTGTCATTTGCCTTGGTTTTCTGCTCAACCAGCAGTTTGTTATACAGCAGTACCTATATATACATATGCATTTACAAGTGCACATGAACTACCCTGGAAGAGAAAGAACTCTCCCCCTCCATCATATTATTCTGTGCTTGCACTTAGAGTAAGAAATTTACAATGCAATACGCTTTACAGCTTCCAATGAATGCAGGATTGGCACAGCCACAAGTGCCAAAAGCAAACACAAAAGTTCTCACAGTTGCAGAATATAACTCTTATCTTGACTTAAGAGGGACAGCAAACACCTTCCTATGTCAGGTCCTTACGATGTGGGGTGGAGAAGAAGAGAGAGAAAAGAAAGGCACGTGTGCTACCTATGTAAGACAGAAATACACTAAGTGCAATTTCACCTTTGAATTTTTCACTACACAGGTATACAGATATTTTTTATTATGTACATATACTTAGAATCACAGAATGGTTTGGGTTGAAAGGGACCTGAAAGATCATCCAGTTCCAACCCCCCTGCCATCAGCAGGGACACCTTCCACTAGACCAGGTTGCTCAAAGCCTCATCCAGCCTGGCCTTAAACACTTCCAGGGAGGAGCAGCCACAGCTTCTCTGGGCAACCTGTGCCAGTGTCTCACCACCCTCACAGTGAAGAACTTCTTCCTAATATCTCATCTAAACCTCCCCTCTTTCAGCTTAAACCCATTTCCCCTTGTTTTGTACTTGCAGGTACTTCAAAACAAACAGATTTTTGTTTTGGTTTATTTTTTTTTCCAGATCAATAAAGCATGCCAAAACCAACATAAACTGACTGCTGACTGGCTCAACAAAAGTAGAAAGGCTCCTAAACCTCCTGTGAAGTAGACATGAATATTATCTATCTAGTTGTATATAAAATACATAGCTTTGAATATCTCCCTGCCAAAGGAATATGAAGCACAGCACCAGACTAGTTTTCTAGCAAGTATTAGTTATTACTAATATAATTAGTTATTACTAATCAGATTAAACACTAATGCCAATCTAGAAGTGATTGTTCTGTTTCTACTACTTTTTGTCATCATGGTGAAACATGATTCTTTTGTAACTTCTGTAACCCTTTATAGGCAAGATAACTGATCCCTTTTAATTAAAAATGTCCACCCTAATCTTATTAAAAGGTAAGCAGGTGATGTTCAAGAATCATTCCAGTAATTTGTGATTTTTGTTCATTAATGAAGATCACCTCCAAAAGGACTGATTTATGGCTCTCAGCAACTGTACCAAACGGAAAACTCCACTGCAGCTACTGATGTCCTGAAAATTGTACATGAAAACCTGCCCTTTGGTAAAATGCAACCTCCTTGAGAGACTACAGAAGTAATATCTGCTAGCTAAAGAAATGTCTTGCAGAAAATACCGGAATGGCAGAGCTACAGCAGAAACAAACAGGACACCACAAAGTTTAGCTTGGGCAGCTTTAGTTCTTTACACCTTTATTCCAACGGACTTTAAAAATGGGCTGGCAGGAGGACTATTTTGGTCCTCACCATCATCTACTCAAAGAACTCCAGTTGTAATTCACTAACTTTTCCTTCTCTTGTCAGTATTCTAGTAACATGTTCTTGCTTTTTGAGCTAAGAATGAATGATGACCATTGCAGAATTCCTCCACTGATCAGGAAATCTCCCAATTTTGTAATCCTCCTCCTATTTGCCAAACTCTAGGGAATTCTGTATGGATAGTATTAAAGTCCTCAAATCATTTTGTTCATGCACGCAAAGAAAGCGTTAGACACACATCTAAATGTTTTGGTAATAGAAAATGGAGCCAAATATACTACTGCTACTACTACTTCCACTATGATATGACGTGTCTGCTACTGGTAGTACTATTTAAAGATGACACGTGTACAAATAGACTTAATTCTTTGGGATGTTGATAATAATGCAAAATGGCTAAAGTGGAAATTAGAAGTAATCCCTTTTCTCCACAGAAAAAAAAAAATCCACTTGTTTGCCTTAGGTTGTCTATGCAAAAGCTCAGAATGGTGTCCCATCCCCCTGAGAAAAAAGGCTCTCCACAGCACAGACGTCAGATCTATGGTACTCACCCGATTCAGCCACCGCGTACAGATACAAAAAGCAAAGGTGAGAGTCTGCAGCCAGAGGAGCACGCAGTATCCACAGTGCCTGGAAGATTTAACTTGTGCTGCGTGCATTACCGGCCATGCAGGCACCCCCTCCTTCCCAGAGAGCCTCTGGAAACAGACAAGGGCTGTGAGACCTCAGGTGCTGTTTTCTCCGCAGAACAGGGTAACCTGATTTTTGCACCAAGATCACCTACCCTTGTAAGAGAATACGTCTCCTGAAAACATTTGCATGGGAAAGTGTCCTGTATTAGGAAAACAGTCTCCATCACTACCTTCAAAAGAAGAAAATCTACAGATTTCACATAGTGCATCTTTTTATCAGTAATGGTAGCAGCAGGATAATTCACTGTGGAATCAATATTTCCTCTCACTTTCTCTGACAGGGGATATGGGGTAGGAAACCTATACATCTCAAAGATCACTTGGTGTCAGATACTTTCTTTGTCTTCTAGCTTTTGAGAACACCTCTGATTTGTGCCAGTGACTGCAATTTGGGGAATCTAAGCTGCCTCCTCTTGCCTACTGAAGGACATGCAGGACATTTCACCTCAGCAGTTCCCTCTGGAACCACTGCCATTCCCAGATTCGGGAGATTAGGGTGGAACAGAACCTGTCTCTTCCCATACCCAAAACTGCCTTCAACCAGTGTGGAAAGCTACAATACCTGAGCATTTGCACAGAGAGGTGGCAGCTTAGAGGTTTTATCTTTCTTGTAGCTTTTTTCAGTGAAATTCACTACTGCCAAGCCACTTCTTACAGAAAAGAAAGGAGCCACAGTATCTAGATAGTTAGGATTTACAGACACCCCAAAAGCAGAAGAAATAGACTGTGAAATACGTACTATTACCAGTACTTCTCACACTGAGTACTTCTCTTAACTTTGTTGAGATGCAAACTGTCTCAGCAGAATTGTTAGGATTGAAGAACTACATCATGTATTCAAATTCTATCAAAAACTATTGTTTCCATGGCAACATGTGTAATGGAGGAAGGTTAGGATCCAGAATTAGATCAGCCCTTCCAGTTTGTGGATAAATACACTGGGATTAAGGGGAACATGAACAATGTCCATGGAGTAGAAAATTAATGAGGTTTGAACAACTTCAAACTTCTTTTGAGGATCAGCCACCGTAACTTCAATCATGGCTCCATCAGGAGGGTAACTGCACACTACAAGGTCCCAAGTATCATGCAAAGAAAATGTCACATAAAAGAGCCCTTCCAGAAGACAAAATTGGTGACACAGATGAAGATGGTCTGAACCAAAGCGTGCACACTCTTGATTCAAACTAACACACTTGCAAACACATCCACTATAGCTTCAGTCACTCCTGAATTCCAGGAGACTTCCAGTTTATATGTAAAAGCAACAGTTGCTTTTTTAAGTCAAAAGAATCTGTTTTGAGCCTTAACAGACCCTTACAATGAAAAACGCTAAGCTTCCCAAATTGACAAGTTAGCAACAGAAGTGATAAAATGTACCCCCGAACTTACTACTTTCTTCAGTTATTAAAAAAATCTCAGAAATCTGATTTTAAGTTTCCCTGAAATAGTGTTTTTAGATGTTTGTAACTTTGACCAAGCTTCTGCAATAAGCACAGAAGAAAAAAATAAATCACAATGGCTTTGATCCTTTCTAACACAGCAAATTCATAGCTGGCACAAAATCCAGAATATCAATCTGCTGTCTTTTGAAACGCAAGACATGAAATTTTAAAAAAGTATTGCAAAGATTTTAAGTGAATGTTAATACACATGTATTCTGATGCTTTTACATGCACAGCCAAAATGCTTTCGGTGCATAATTATTAAATAGAATCATTACAACCTGATAACTTGGCTGTAATATTCTCTCTCAAGTTGTGAGAAATTGTGCAGTCTATGACTCATGCCAAGAGTGGATAACAAAAAATACAGATAATAAATATACATGCTGCACAGAATCTGGCCTTTTATAGTGTGGGCATCCTAACTGATGGCTGTCAAGACTCTTCAAGGTTAGCAAATTGTGTCTGGAATATTCAATCTATCCACACCTCTGTAACCCTCCTCAGTCTCCGTCTCAGCCACTTAACTCATCTTTAGGATGAATTCACATCTTTTTCACAGGTTATGTCTCTATATTAACTCTCCCTATTGCATATTCAAACATTATCAAAATTCTTCATTGCTGGATTTGTAAGATGCTGGAGGAACACCTTCAGACAGATGTTTTTAGCAACTAAAGAGTCTTAGCACAGCCACAGTTTGGAAAGCACTTCCAAGACAAGGGGAAGGATTCATGCCGGGACAAGCGGGAGAAACAAAATAGGGTCCCAGTGAAGGCATCTGACATTTTACCCAAAATTCTGCTCGTCTGACCCAGTAACAGTGCGTGCTTCTTCTTACCCAAGCACTGTAAGTGTATTTCAACATATATATTTAGAGCTACAGAAGTGCTAAAAACTAGTTCCTGCCCAAACACTCAAGTAGTTTCCAGTAAGTCAGTATAAATCTGTCATTAATAAATGAATTCAGGCTTTGCTCCTAAGACTTAAAAAATTGTATTTAAAAATTCTCCAAAACACACCACCTTTTCTGAGCATCTCTTAATTTTTAATTGTACCAAAAAGATATTTAGCCAAGGATTATAGAAAGAAAAAATGTTCTGCAGTACTCACTACTACTTTTTTTGGTCCCCAAGGTCTGGCCATCTTCAAGAGAGTTTGAGCCCACAGAGGAACTATCCTGACTGTCCTGGTGGGGCAGCTGAAGAAATCCTTCACTGGATTCTGAACGGGTAGGTGTAAGGGTCACAGACTTCAAACGTTCTCTATTAACATCCTTCTTAGATTTTATCAGCTTCCTCATTTTCAGAGTAATCCAGTTGCCCCTTCTGTTACAAATAACACAGTACATTTATCGCATTTAAAAGTTACTTATGCCTTCAGACTTTTCCTGATTTGTATGCAAGAACACAGACATGATTCTGTTTCCCTGAAGTTTAATGAAATCTTGATTTTCAACTGGAAAAAGAACAGGTATGTCATGTTTTAGATTTTATTTTTTATATCATGTTCATCAGTACCTTCTTGGTGGAGATGGTTCATAAAATTTATATTGATCCATTATCTTCTCCTCCAATTTCTCCTTCTGTCGCCTTAATTCATTTAGTTTGTCACTGTAAACAGAAATTAATGACAATGTATGCTTCAAAAGTGTATATATAATATGTGAGTAGCATGTTCCTCTGGATATCTGTTATCTGAAAGTTGTCACTTTTCATGAGGAATTCTTATGACACATTTCTTATTGAAAAATCAAGAAAGAGATACAGCAAACAAGCAGTCTTGTGTTTAATGTTATGATATAAAATTGAAAAAAATTCCATTTGCCTTTATTATACAAAAGAATTTTCCCCTTTTAAAAATAATAATAAAGTGCATATACATTCTAATGGAATCATTTAGACAAGCACATTTTCTCATCTCTCAAATTCACTAAAAAAGTTTGCAGATTACAAACAAAACTGGGAACTTTGCTTGTAGCAGAATGAGGAATAAACAACATTTTTATTCTTCATTTGCATCATCTTACTGTGTAATAAACACAATTGCACTGATCCTTTAGAACGAAAAATACAGTGTTCATAGTTTATCTGCTTTTCATATATAATTTAAATTTTTATTTTAGAAAGAGAAACATTTCAGAAGTAGCACACGTGTTAATTTCTATATAAAACAAACTTTTTAAAAAAATGTAGGTATTAGTGTAACTGCCCTAATCACAGTTATTTCATTTTTTTAAAAACTCACATGTATTGCCTTTGCTCTACATGGAAGAGATCCTTGCTTTCCATGTTTTGCTCAAGTAATGTTCTGTTCTGTAGCATTAATGTCTGAATTTGATCTAGTAGATGTCTGTTTTCCTCCTCCAGATTTCCTTTAAGCTGGCTAAGCAGCTGTTAAAATACATGAAATGGTACATGCATACATACGTGAGCAAATTTTACACACAGATAATTAGATTATCAAGAAAATTTAGGCCTACAAAGGATTCTTATAGTCAGATCAAACAGAGAACTAAATCACAAACCAACTGATAAAAGCCTCTTTGATGCTTTATATAACTTAAAACAGTTTACCTAACACACGAGCTCAATTTTCGTATTACCTATACAACAAATTAATTTGTTTTCAGACCAACTTCATTATCTATAAACCAAATGACCAATTCTCAAGCATTTCAGATGATTTTATGCATCTACAAATTACAATGATACCAGAGTCATGAAAAACAGCAGAATTCTCACATACCTCACACTGATTATTTAGTTTTGTAGATGTTATATCCAGTTGCTGGTACTGTTCTTTTAGTTTAGAAAACTCAGCTTCTAATCGTGTTTGTTCCAGTTTGGAATTATTCAATAATGTTTTCAAATTCTTATGATCAGTTTGGAGAACTTCATTCTCTCTCAAGAGTTGACTGTATGTATGAGTAAGCCTGGAATTAAAAGACACCATGAAAGAATACATGCAGATAGAAGGAAACGTGTGCATGACCCACATTCCCACACTGGGGTTGGACTAGATCTCCAGAGGTCCCTTCCAACCCCTGTGATTCTGTGATTCCCTCTGAAGCATGAAATTTCCAGGGCTCTATACTACTCCATAGAATACACACAAAAATTTCTTAGTACCACATACTGTAGTTAAGTAATCTCTTAGTCTACTTTTCTTAGGTATGCGTTCTGCCTTTAAGCCAAACACTCCAGGTTCTCCATATGTTTAAAAATAAAGCAGGATTTCTAAACGCAGACATTACAACTAGTTTTAAGATGCCCCTTTTCAAAATACATGAATCTTACAAAACTGCTAGAATTTCTTGTCAACACAGAATAGTAAGGAAATAAAAAGGGTCCAAACTTTGGTAACCATGGAGGTTGCATTTATTGACTCTTGGGCTCCCTTTGGGCCTGCTGTGTTCCTTTCTGAAAACAACTTCCAGTTCCTAATCCTCTTCACCCAACACCAAAGGTAGGAGGCATTTAATTGTGAGCCTCTTTGCCAGATGAACAAGTCTTAATGCCTCTTCTTGAATGGGAAATTATTACGCTATGTAAATATTACTGTTCAACCCAACTACTCAGAGCAAGCCATACATCAGTTGCAGAGTTCAAGCAGGACTTTGCCACCCACCACATTTCTACTCCTACTGGCATTAACATCAGTTATCTTGCTCCTTAAGCAACTCATGCAGAGGGGCTTGCTCCCTCTACAGCTCACAACCATACTGCACAGTGCTTGGCCTGGCATTCCTCAAGATGCTATTGTGGAATTCAGTATCCTCAGGATATAATAGTTATGTTTTGTGGGTTTGATTTACCCTCCCACTCCCCCTGCCCCGTTCAGTTTTTCTAAAATGACTGTATGACAGACCAACGGAGTGGACTTGCTATAAGGTATGGATCATAGCTGTCCTGAATTGCAGCATCAGGTATTAAGAAATGGGAGTGGACACAACATTCGTTTAGACCACACTGGCAAGTGCTCAGAGCTCTACTAATACACATATCAGACTTCCGCTTTACCTTTCATTTTCATCACGAAGTTTCTTATACTCTGCTGCTACAGTTTCATGTTTTTCATTTTGCTGCAGCATTTTCTCCTGTTCTATCTTGAGTACTTTCTCCAGTTCTTCCAGCTGCACTTTCTGTTTCAGCAACTGATTGTACCTGCAAACAACAATAATATTTAAGTTTCTTTTTTGGAATGACAAGAAAATATGGAATTTTTTGGAAAAGGTGATCTTTCAAACTTTTAAGATCTTAATGTTATATTGAAGTAATATGAATTTTATTCATGCCAGTTATACAGTGTTTTTTCCTCAGGAATTGCAGACTTTCATTCTACTTAGACATATTAGTACTTACCTATCTTCTAAGTCCTTATGCTCCACCTCCAGATTTTTGTGTACAGACTTAAGATTTCCATGTTTAGCAATCAGAGATTCATACTCGGAAGCTTGGCGTTCATGCAGGTGTTCCAGCTTTTCATGATCTTTGAGAAGTGAATCATACAGTGATTTCAGGTCCTCACGTTCCCTGAGCACACATTCATTCTCATTTTCTAAAGCAGACTGCTGTATCAACAGTTGTGCATTCTGATTCATAAGAGATGTGCTTTGAGAATTAAGGGTGGAATTTTCAACCTGCAGTCATAAACATTTGACAACAGTTGCAAATTAATTTCAGAGCCTGGATTATTTTTCCTATCTCCCCCACTGAAAGATTTCTTGAGTTTAACCCTTAGTGTCTTAGCAACCTTCTAGTTACTCCATTACCTGACAACCTTTAATGGGAATACTTTTTTTCTTATATCCCAAGAGACAATTACAATTCAAAATATTCCAAGAATATTTTTATAGCAGTACTGCAAGAAAGCACTTAAGCATAGGCTTAAATTGACATGGTGGGAGGGGGGAGAAATCAAATTATTATTTACCTTCAAATATCTGTTAAAGTGCTATGTAGACAAGAGGCACATTTCCCTCTCAGCATTGACAGCTCTACTATCAAAAGAGCTTAGAGAAATGGATCACCAGTGATCTGCGTATCACAGAAGCCAAACCTGTGACATGACTAAAAGGAACTTTCATATCGGCATAGATATTTAAAAAACAAAACAAAACAAAACAAACTTTATTGTACAGAATCTCTATTGTCACCACAAAATCCTTACTGTACCCACATATCCTTTAGAATGAGACTTCAAACAGTAGCATCCATTTAACAGAGAGAAAGGGAAATAAAATAATAGCTCCTAGAAGGAACTACCCTTATTCTATTTTACTGAGGAACTGCCATTCATGGTTCTCTTCTAACAGCAGCAATGTCAGTTGATCACTTTATGTACGGGTTGTGAGATCTGGTGGAAAATACTGTTCTTGTAGAAGAGTATAATTTCTCCAATAATTATGTCAGAACAGTATTAATGTCTATTAATACAGTAAAGCCTTTAACATTAGACAGATTAAAAAACCCAACAACTTTACTTCATGTGCCTCTGGAAAGATTAACCCAATGTAATCCTTGGATATCTTAAAGAATTGACAATACCCAACATGCTTGTCATTGACCTGTATTAGGCTAGTTTCCTTCTCTTTCCTATTCAAGAAATGAAAAAACCAAACTACTGAGGCTTCTAATATCCTCAGGGTATCTATTAAGGGGGAAGAAAAAAAAAAAAAATCTATCACTCCAGTGCACACTGTTACTAAGGAACAAATCCCTTTCTGTTGGAACTGCAGCATTCTTTGTTACAGATGAGAAAGCTGAACCTTTCACTGGAAATGATGTAATGTCTGATGGCATGTGTATGCTGTGAAACTTCCCAGACTGAATCCCAAGTTTGATTTAGTTCAGAATTCCCAGTTATCCTAAGATATACTTTCTCTTCTATGTTCCTTATGGGTATCAGAAGGAATAGTAGATTTACAGTTGCGTAAAAACAATTTTGACATAGTCCATGTAGAACAGCTTAGTTTGCACTTCAGATTTAGTTAATCACTCTTATTTTCATGAACATATTTCACCCTTCATTTTCATTTAGTTGATGGACAGTTGTCTTGCAACTTGCCTGAAGCTATGAGCAAAACAGATGAATTCTCAAGGAAGGAGAACTCTCTTTCTCAGTCTGTTGGGTATAACATCAGTCAGTCATCCCCAGCAACAAATATTACATTGCTTGGTGAGGTTCACCACAAAAAAAAAAGGGGGGGGGGGGGGGAGAAACGCTTCCTGCTCCCCATCACTGCCTCCAATACCTTCAAATATCTACAGTTCATTCATTCTACAGGTTTATCAGAGAGGAAAGGCCTGTGCTGTTGTGCAATTCATGAGGCAAAAAAGAAACTACACAGATATTCCCATTTTTTGGCAAAATGGTATTACAAAACACTCAAGAGTTCTGAATCCCAGAGATATATCCTCATCCGTTTAAAATGGTGTATTTCCATACCCACATACACTAACTTTTAACAACTAAACAAGACAGTGTGTGCTCAAATATTCTTGCCAGCCATAAAGGGGAGAGCTGTGCAGTAATTATATTTCAATGTGGTAGATGGAAAGTGCATCTGTGTTCTGCTTTCCAGAAAGAGACAGGACGGTAACTTGAGGCATTTACAAAATGCACTATTTGTTTACTTGTTTAAAGACTCCTTCACTCTTTGATTTTCATCCACCCTCCATCATTTCTGTCATTGTTTACTATTTCTGCTGAATTGTGGACTTTGTATTCCCTCTCTAAGTAGTTTTGATTCTTAGAGCTTCAAAAAGAATTCAATCCATTAACAAGAATATTTCATTTATCAGAGGGAAAAAAAAATGTATTTAATAATCCTGTTAAAGTATGGAGAACAACATCTGAATTTTGCCTGTAAGAGCTGCAACTGTTTTTACAATTTCCATGGTTACACATTACCTTTCTTCGCCTCTAACTTATGTGAATTCAATCTCCACATACTTACGTAGTTTTCAAAGTTGGGTTTTTGTTTTTGTTTTTTTTCCCCAAAATCTTTTGTACTTAGTAACAACCTGATTTTCCTCTTAAGTATGATTTTTACTTTTTTTTTTTAAACTCTATTTATAAAAATAGACAAAATGCTGAATTTATTAGTGTCTCTTTGGACACACTACTTCCTTGACCTAATTTAGAATTTAAAATAGAAATTTTTTTTAAAGTTATCTTAGAAGACTGGATAAGAGAATCTACTCTACTCCTAAGTACAGAGTTTAAATTGTACAAACATAAAGGATTAAAACCAACTTCTAGAAATGTTACTTTACTATTCATCTGCAAACAAAACATTATTTGACTGCTCTTAGTACAGATGATTTGCATACTACTTTCTATGTTTGCACCAGAAGTGAAATGTGACTTACAGTATATGATTGCCATTAGCCCTAAGGCTTCCATTTGAAAAAACTCTGAATTAATTTTATTTTTGAAAGCAAAACGGGAAAATATTACCTGCAGCTTGGCATTTTGAGTTTGTAGAGTTGTATTTTGTTCCTGTAGAGAAACAGTCTGTCTCTGAAGTGCAAGAATCTGAGCCTGCAGATTGCTGTTCTGTGTCTCAAGTTGCTTTAATTGTGTCTTCAGTGCTTGCTTCTCTGCCTGCAGTGTAGCATTCTTCAAACATTAAAAAAAAAGGAAAATTTGAGTTCACAGCTGTTTATTGAACTTCAAGAAGAAAAAAAAATGTTCCTCCAAAACAAGCAAAGCAATGAAACTTCAGAGATTTACAAGGTGGAACAAAACTGTAAATCACCTTATATAACAAAGTAACACAGTGATATTATCAATACAGGTTAAGATTGAAGAAAAGGGTAAGTAATATTGTAGCTATGGAGAAACAGCAGAGAAATCTCCGTGACTCGTAAATAAGGATTATATAAGAGGGATTTAAGAGATATCGGTGGATTCAAAAGGGCAAATTCAGGTTTCCACATTTCCTTTTAAATGCAGGTCAAGTGCTTTACAGCATCTGTCAGTGCAGAATCCAGCTGCTTCACACACTATACTTAATTCACATTCTGCTTGGTCTGTAAACTAGGTGATAAATTGCATACTTTCTTAAAAATACTCCCATTCATATTACTGGAAGAGCTCACAACAAATAAAATCAGAATATTATTAAAAACACATCTTACATTCCTTTCTACTTCAATTAATCTATCTTTAACTTTCAATAATTCTCTAGTAGTTTCCTGATTTTCTTTCTCCCACTTATTGACAGATTGATTGTCTTCTTCACTTCTTGGAGGAGAATTCTGAACCATCCTTTCCTCTTCTTGTCTTTGCTTGAGAGCTTCGTAGTTCTTTTTCACCTGAAATTATTTAGGACAACTTACATTAGGTTTAGAATTTTCCATTTTCTACATCCTAATTTATTACACGACTATACCACTTTTCTAAGAACAGAAAGCGATATATATATATCTATATATCTTTTTGTATACATTTGGTGAGATGATGTACAAATAATTTATAGATACTGATGGCTTAAGCATAATAAACACTTGTGCTCATAGTCATACTTGTCTAACAGAAAGAGACCTCTATTTTAAATTTTATTTCAGTGCTTTCAACTGTATCCCCCAACTTTTATAATAAAGTTCAACCACCAAGGAGATTTTTTTTTTTTAAGTAAGTCCACTGAGGCTGTTCAAGGTAGATCAGAAAATGTAACTTACTAAGAAATTACTATTTTTGGCATCCCAAATAAAATCAAATTATTTATCCACCTGACATATTCAATGACCAATGAATAAACTCATCAACAACTCTTCATGTAATACCAACACTGGGCCTGTATTACTGCAGTCTTAAAAAGTAGTCACGCCTTTGTCCTGCTTTACATTACCCCAACAATGCCCATCTTTTGCTGTCTTGCACAAAAGGTCAAGTGCAGAAATAACAATAGCTGGTACAGGAATAATGGAATCTTACAGAAGAACTTATTCTCCTTACTGTTTTAAGTTCCTGGCGGAGCTGCTGGTTTAAATTTGTTGATTCTTCTAAACGAGCCTCCAAAGCAGCAATTTTTTCTTCTTTTATTTCAAGAGACTTCTTAAGTGTGGATTCTAATTTTGACTCCAAAAGCTTGTACCTACTGATGAATGACATCACATACAAAAAATTATTTCAAAAAATTATTTGAGGTATTTCAATCCTAAAAGGTCCTGAAAAGTAGCCTTATAGCTACGTTTAAAAATACTGGAACACTGATTCTATTCAAAATCATGAAGACACATTATTAATATCAAGTATTAATATCAGGTCCTATGTCTAAAACAAACAGAAGATGGTAGTCACAAACATTTTTCAATCCTTCTTTCTTTTCAAACATATTAGACATAAAAAAGCCATGTTCAGCCACACAAGTAGGGTGCTGGCTGTATGTGGATCATGAGTGTTGGTGATGACAGCACTCTTCCTTCTGGCTCCACTTCAGTGAATCCAGTAGGGACCTGAACTAAATTAGAATGTGAAGTATTTGGAGAGCAAGATTTTCATAAATTTCCATTTCCTGCTAGCTCACCAAGAGGAGGCACTAGGGAAGGAGATGGAACACAGTACTTTGCAGGTGCATACTCATTTGATGCATGAATGTGCAAATTGCTCACTCAGCCCAGCTGCTGATGTTTTTAAGACTATTACCACTCCTTATGTGCAAAGCTTCTATTTTTTACCATGTTTACAATATTGTAGGGCACCTAAAAATCCCAAACCTCACATCTGGGAGAGAAGTGGTCAGATTTAGAATATATTGGTTTAGAACAGTAACTCCTGAAACCTGTCAGTGCAGGATACTCTAATGAATTATTAGCCTTTTTAGAAAATAGTAAAAACCACAGTCGTCAATCACTTTTAAACAGTTCAGTCACTATACATGTACTCTGAAACTGGAAAACATCCCACTTCTCTTTGCAGTAACATAAAATTAAAAAAAAAAATCCCTAATACCCCCCCCCACCCTTTATAACCTTGACTGCTGGACAAGCTATCAGTTTAGTGAACAGAATAGATTGCAAGAGATTCCTGAATGGACAACGGCATTAGATCTAGTCAGGAACTGGAGCAGAAGACGAATGGTGGGAGAATAAATAAGTAGAAAGCTGTCCAGTAGCATCATATAGCAGGATGAGAACCCTTGATTTTAAGGTATGACAAGTAATTCTCTAGGACTTAAGAAACAATAGGCAGTGTATGACTAGTAAAACAGATTGCATTTCATCTGCTTGAGCCAAAGCATATATTCACCTACAGATAAGAATTCCTGTTACTAAAAAGTTATACAATTATGAAGAAAACAAAGAAGGAAAAAAGACTAATAGCAGAAACCCAATATCCAGTTTCCTGTTAAACACCTAACAATGAAAGAAGGCACACATTTTCTGATGTAACTGAGATTTGGGTATTTCAAATTCAGGGTCAAAAACCATAAATCTGTTTGTCTAAAGACCACAGCCATTTGAAAGGCAAGAGAAAATGGAAAACACTTCAAAGTTAACTTATCAAATGTGGTCAGCTTAGGCCCCAATAAAAAGACTCTGAAGTGCTTCTAAGAACATTCAACAAAAAATACAAGCAGCTCTCTCCAATCAGGGAGAGAAAAATTGTGCATTTTTGATGTGTCATCAAAATGAGAGAGGCAGACCAAAAAATACACTGAGAAATAATTTTGGCCATGGTGAACATAGCCTCCCACAGGCCTGATGAAAGGATTGCTAATGCCTCACCTGTGTAATAATGTAAGGAGAGGAATCCATAGAATCATAGAATGTTGTGAGTTGGAAGGGACCCACAAGGATCATCAAGTCCAACTCCTGTCCCTGCACAGGACAATCCCAAGATTCAGCCCATGTGTCTGAGGCCTTGGCCAAATGCTTCTGGAATATTGTCAGGCTTGGTTTGTTGCCATGACCACCTCCCTGGGGAGCCTGTTCCAGTGCTCCACCACCCTCTGCCTCAAGAACCTTTTCCTCATGGCCAACCTCACCCTCCCCTGCCACATCTTCCTGCCATTTCCTCTGGTCCTGTCATTGGTCGACAGAGAGAAGAGATCAGCGCCTGCCCCTCCTCCTCCCCTTGCAAGGAAGTACCTCAGGTATCCAGGTACCTTTTAGATGAATGAAAAAGTTGAGAACAATGGAAAGGCAGGATAGTGGCAGAGCAAAATCTGGAAACCAACGTTTCCACGTGGAAAACAAATATTGCCCCTTCACAATCCTCCACCTCAACAAGAAGTTTGAGAAGAAGCTCAAAACAGTAGCACAGCCAAATTTCTTCAATCTAAAACTATTTGGCCGCAAGCCTGAGCTCTGAGGTAGGCTTTAGATAATGTTCTAGGTAAATTTCAAGATATAAAGCTTACTGCATATCTCCCCACAGATCAGCCTGAATTTACACATCATATCCAGCCTGGTATCCAAATATCTTGTACCATCAATTATTCCATCTGCTTTTGTGGTACTTCCATATGGTCAGTGCTGGACACTCAAGTTTGCCATAAATGCCTTTCTAGAGAGGCATTATTTCCTGCTGCAAGGGAATCTGCAAAGAATTAAGCATGAGCTGTTCTTATGACAGTGCAACTGAGCAACACCAAATTACAAGAGAGCTAATGCCAGCAATAGACATGTGCCAAGTGCAGGTCAACCAGTATGCAATGTTCGAGCCTGCTCCCTTGGCTGTGCTCCAAATGTATAATATATACACAGCAAAAAACATGCAGTGACTCCTTCAAAAAGGAATACCCATTAGAAAAGAACTACAGGGATGCGGGGTGAATGAAAGAAAATTAACTTATTTCTGTAATTCCCATACACAGCTAACCTGGAAGCAAAGGAAGAAATTAAATGGGTCATGATGGGTACCAGAAGTACCTTAAAAGTTCATTTACGGATTGTAATTTAATGAAAGCTGGATAAAACTCCCCATTCCACAGAGACACGTAACACCAAATTTTTTTCCAAATTATAACATATAGATCCAATACAACATGATTCTGTAAAATGCAAAGGAAACACTAGTATTGTATGGCCCAAACTCCTAATTCATATAATGTCACAAACCAAGAAACCTATGAGAAGTGAACCCACAACATGTGATCTTTAGAAGTATGAGCACTTGTAAAAGACAAGTGCTTTTGTCTGGAAAGTAGAATTAGACTCATAAATCTTTTCACGTAGTATAATTGGCAAGAGCACCTTTACAGAACAACATTCTCCCCCTTTGTGGGAGGCAGATCTTTCCATTCCAACCACATGGAATCAAGAACATGATTTAGGAAAATGTTGCTCAATCTGGCCTTTGTCATTTAAGCAGTTTAAACTTCAACTCAGCTCAAGGATTGGTTCTCCTCTGTATGGTATATTCACCTAAGGACAAACCAAACACATACTATGTACTGTATGCTACACAGTAATGCTTAAATCAAAAGAAATCACGCTAGTCAAAGTTCTGAGGACTTTTCTTGACAGAAGAATTCCGCATCTGTTAGCTGAGAAAGATGAAAGACACCAGCAGAAAACAAGAGGTGGTAAGAGATTCTCCCTACAGGATTCTGGCACCATCCCAGTAACTGGCAGCAAGAAAGGGCAACTGAAGAAAAAAAAAAAAGTTGTTTGGTTTTCTTTTGATATAGAAGGCCCCAAATCAATCTACATGTTCATGACAATTAGTTGGATTAACAGATCATGACAGCAGCTTTTTCTTTTTTTTTTTTTTTTTTTTTTTTTTTAAAAAGAGCACAACTGAATAGCATCGTGAAATAGAGACTGGCTAGAAGCCCATATTAGTCTGCTTTTCTCCTGTCACAAATTTTCCCTAAATCCCTGCAGGGTAAGACAGAACACAACATACAGCAGAGGAAACAAACGTCAGGATCACAGTTGCTTTATAATGGCAGGTGTGGCAGAGTGATAGAGCCAGCACCATGTTTTTAGATAATTAAGTATTGGATACTTCCCAGACAGTGTAGTGGGAACTGAAACAGCTTCCTTTTGGTAGGAAGAATTAGAAGGAAATAGTTGTAAGGAAAGAGTAAGACAGTTTAAAGGTAACCACTATGTGAGAGAAAGGTGAAAAACATTTCTATCAGTCAAGCAATCAAAAAAGGAAAAAAACTCACTTTGGGCCCATTATCTTTTACTGCTACTATTCTTGCTGCTAGCTAGAACATAAAACATTTCGATTATACATTACTTGTATCTACTGACATACTTCAAGAAATTTCTTAGTTCCAAAGAGTAGTAACTCACTTTCACAGACAGCTGAATGTAAAAGCGTATCAACTATCTTATTTATTTCGAAGAATAGCAAGTTCCATTTTGGGTCTATTAACATGCCTTAAAATCTAAGAGTATGCCCAAGAAGAGTCTGTAAAACCATTTTATCTTCATGATTAAAAAACGATCCTTATTTCTACACTGTTCTAAGTAGGCCATGACATTCTCACCTGTCATCACTGCTCTGTTCATCATGCAAGAGACGCTCCTTGTTTAAGCCTATTTTTTCAAGCTCGTGGGCAAGTTTTTCTAGATCGTTGTGCATTTGTTGAGTCTTCAATTTTTCATTCACCAAGTCCTTACACAAAAAATTACAGTCAGTATCATCACATAAATAAAATACTGTCATCTTAATTCTAGAAGTGCTGAGGCAAGATACTTTTGTCCCTACATGACTTGAATAACTCAATGTTAACTCTCCCTTCCTTCCAACTGTTAGCTTTCAGCTATATCAGACACTACGTTGTTAATGATAACATGATTTCACTGCACTTGTTTACTCCCTTTCTGTACAACTTCCCTTTCAAATCTGGTCTTGAACATTCTGGTGAAGCGGAAATGTTTCAACCAGAACAAAGACTAACACAAAGAATCTGAACAACATCCATTTAACGTAGGCTCCACGACAGTCTGCAAAAAAATCTTACAGAATTAGTGTAACGTGGTTATATTCTGCCATTTGATTATGATGATTATATAAATTTTGACTACCTAACAATTTCCCTACTATTAAGGATGCTAATAGTAAAGATTTAAGCATAAAAAATAGAAAATAAAAACTTTCAAAAAAACCAGATATAATTTCTCTACATTACAAACAGATGATGATGGGAATAGTAACTAATTTCTGTTTACCTCTCGTAAAGTGACAAGGGTTTTCTTATCAATGGTAGCTCTTTTCACGAGTTCTTTATTTTCCTTTTCTAGTTCTTTTAGGCGTACACATGACTCTTTATATACAACTATTTCTTTAAATAGAGATTTATTTTCCTTTTCCAGATTACTAATTTTTACATTGTTTTCTTCTAAAGTACTATCCTTAATTTCTGCTTGTTGTCGAAGCCTTTTATTTTCTTTTTCTAGCTGTTTCTTATCTTTTTCCAGTTGAGAAGTCTCTTGTTCTAACAACTTATTCTCTTTTTCCAACTGCTCTAGGCGCTTACTAGAGATTTTTAACTCTTCTAAGTTCTTTTGCAGAGTCTGATTTTCAGACTCTAAATCCTGTAATTCACTTTCTAACTGCTGAATCTTCTTATTGCTGTTTTCAAGGGCTTTCTGCAGCCTTTGGTTTTCTGTGTCTAGGCCTTGGTAGCTGACTTCCAAACGTTCAGTTTTCTTAAACGAGGCTTTCATGAGTTCAAGGCTTTTTTTAAGTTGCTCCTTTTCACTCTCCAGTTCCTTATTTTCTAATTGTAATTGTGCCACTTTAATGCTTGTACACTTCAAGGATTCAATTGTTCTTCTTAATTCCAGATTTTCTTCATCTAGTTGTGAATTCTCCTTTTCTAAGGATTCTAATTGAAAAGTGAGATTTTTTAGACTATCCAAAGTTTTTTTTAGTTTTCTGTTTTCCATTTCCAGGTCTGAATTTTCTTGTTCTAAGGCCTCTATCTTCTCACAAGTAATTTTTAAGTTAGTAATTTTTTTCTGTAATAATTCATTTTCCTTCTCCAGACGATGTACCTCATTCTCAAGTTCTTCTGCTCTCTCCCCTTTCTCTTTATAGTGTTCCAGCTCTTTCCTGAGTTGCTTTTTTTCAAATTCAATCTTATTTAACTTACTACTGGTCTCTTTAATAGACTCATGAAGGATTTTATTTTCTTTTTCAATTTCTTTCATTCTTGCTTCAGCACTGATTTGCGAGCGTTGTCTCAGAGAAGCTACAGTTTGATTCAAATGTTCATTTTCTTGTTCCAATAGCTTAACCTAATTTGGGGGAAGAATTGTAAACCTTGGTGAGTAACACATCAACAAATATTTCTGTATTCAAAAAATTTCTATATATAAACTGAAAGCTACTAAGATAAGATTACATCCTATTTCCCTTTTATTTTAAGGGTTTTTAAAAAATTCTCTTACTCTACTGGTATTTATTTGCATCACTACAAACACTGCGTATGTACACAGGTGAAGTCAGACAACAAAGTAAGTTAAAGTGAATATTCAAATATCTTCCTCTTGGATATTAGTACGTAACATAAAAATAAAACTAATGAAGCACAAATGAAAACAAAGCTGGATCTATATCTTAGTTTCATTTCATTTTCATTTGTGTTTACCCAGATATAGATTATTTTTCTTAAACTCTAATTTCCAGAGATGTGTGTCCATAAAGAACAAGACTGCAGTTAAGTTCTACACCAAACTTGAGATGGAGGGAGTTGTGGGAGCTGCAAAAGCGTCTTTATTTCACTTGGAAAAAACAGAGGTGATCTGTGGCATATGAGGGCATCCTGATCACAGTCAATAATACTTTGGGAAGAAACACATCAAAGTTACATTAATTTTTAAGTTAAAAAGAACCCTTGGACATGTGTTCCGAAACAGCTTCCAGAGAAAGTAAATCATATTAGAACTGAATTAAGTTCTTAGGTAGCATACTCCCAGATCTACTTTAAGGATAAAGACAGTATTTAAATCTTGATTTTTTTCAGATACTCCAAATAATGTGGAATTATTTGGGTACGTAACAACAGACAGCAATATCCAGAAAACTGTGTAGATCAATATTTAAGAATACACTAATAACATAGCATAAGGGATGTTTCAACACCACACTATTTTGGAGGAAAGCAAAAGTGCTAGTTGCAATGAAACACAGACTGAAAAAATTATAGAGTGTTCTTTCATATTTAAGTCGGAATGTAACTATTAATTACAAGAGCTACAATTCTGTTCCCAGCAATGACAAACTGTTCTGAAATGATTAATGAGAAACTAATTAACAGGTGTCTAAAAACACAACTTTGTAACACTCCTTTACATAACCCAGTATGTTACTGAACATGCATAATCACTTTCCATGAATTCTGCTTCTATAATCCAGACTTAAAAAAATCCTGATCCTCTATAATTTCTGATGAAATCAAATGAACCTGTACAAGTCAACTCGAATAAATTTCAGCACAGAATTTGTAAAAGACATAAAAGATGCTGCTAGCCCATCTCGGCTCCTAAGAATATTATTTTTAAGCAGAAGTAGTCCCACTGAAATGTCAGTCCTACTCCACCACGTTTAAAAAAATATACCCCAGGGGTTGATACTGGGTCTGGTCTTGTTTCACATCTACATCAGTGACCTGGATGTAGGGATAGAGTCCACCCTCAGCAAGTTTGCTGATGATGTGAAGTTGGGAGGAGTGGCTGACACACCAGAAGGCTGTGCTGCCATTCAACGAGACCTGGACACGCTGGAGAGTTGGGCAGAAAGGAACCTGATGAGGTTCAACAAGAGCAAGTGCAGAGTCCTTCACCTGGGGAGGAATAACCCCAGGCACCAGTACAGGTTGGGGGCTGACCTGCTGGAGAGGAGCTCTGCGGAAAAAGACCTGGGTGTGCCAGTGGGCAGCAGGTTGACCACGAGCCAGCAGTGTGTCCTGTGGCCAAAGAGGCCAACAGTCTCCTGGGGGGCATTAAAAAGAGCGTGGCCAGCAGGTCAAGGGAGGTTCTCCTCCCCCTCTGCTCTGCCCTGATGAGGCCACATCTGGAGTACTGTGTCCAGTTCTGGGCTCCTCAGTTCAAAAGGGACAGGGATCTTCTGGAGAGAGTCCAGCGGAGGCCACAGAGATGATGAGGGTCCTGGAGCATCTCCTGTGTGAGGAGAGGCTGAGAGAGCTGGGACTCTTCAGCCTGCAGAAGAGCAGACAGAGGGGATCTGATCAATGTCTATAAATATCTGAAATGTGGGGGCCAAATGGATGGGGCCAGGCTCTTTTCAGTGGTGACCAGTGACAGGACAAGGGGTAATGGGCAAAAACTGGAACACCAGAAGTTCCACACAAACTGAAGGAAAAAATTCTTTACTGTAAGGGTGCTGGAGCTCTGGGACAGGCTGCCCAGAGAGGTTGTGGAGTTTCCATCTCTGGAGATGTTCAAAACCCACCTGGACACTTTCCTGTGCAACCTGCTGTAGGGAACCTGCTTTGGCAGGTGGGTTGGACCAGATGATCTCCTGAGGTCCCTTCCACCCCCGACCATTCTGTGATTCTGTGATTCATATTCCTGATGGTTAAACTGGGACTTATGACTTATTCCAGAAAAGATTACATCTTTTTTTTTTTCCTCCATGGGAGTACACTTGTAATACAATGTATAAATCAATTATTGTAAAAATGAACACTTCTGAACAAGACAAGCTGACATATTTTATTTAAAATTATCCCCACTGTTCTCTTTAAATGAAAGTAAAGCTTCAATGTCAAGCACAATTTTAGGTGGGTTTTTTTGTTTTCTTTTCTAAGTCTGAATTTTCATGTCCTGATTAAATTGGGTCTTTAAAAATTTTCAGGATTTTTGAAATATATTATTCTGTATTCCAAAATAGCACACTTTTAAACTGAACTAAAAAATATTAATCTCATCAAGAAGTACCACTGGAATTTATAAAAGGTAACTACAGATCTAATTCTGAAGGACTTGATTACTACAGATGGGATTTCCAGAAGTTTTCATAACTCTTGCTTCCTAGTGGCTGCCTTCCACAGGTCCTCTGACTTGGTCTGCAAAGACCTTAGAAAGTGTCAGCACCCATTAGATGCATCAGTGACATTCAGTACTCTCCCAAATACAGCTCAGATTTTTTACAAAGACCCAGATGCCAGTTTCTGGCAACCAAAAATAAATTCTGCTAGCCACCTACAAGTCACAGCTAGAATGCATTCAAGTGTAGGGGACCTTTATGAAACGGGATACAATGGTTCATACCCCAGATAAACAAGACTCTGGGTGACTGAGGAGGAACAGAATCGGCAGCAGAGCAGAAGACCAGCTCTGCTTCACTGGTCTCTGCCAGGTCCCTTTGAGGGACAGGCTGCTGTAATTCTCATTAGTACTCTGACATTACTTCAAACACTGACCAGCTGTCTGGAACCTGTTTTCCTCCATTGAGAGACATTTGGTTTACCTCCAAAGTTCCCAATTTTCTGTTTTGGCTGAGCTACATACACCCTCTAAGCAACTACAGTAAATGCACAGCCCATGAAAGCCACAGAAGCGTTACAAAACACAGAAAGTTCTAAAAGTAACAGGAAAGCCTCAGCTAAAAATGAGCCATGTCTCTCACTGGCTGCAGGTCTTAGACAAGCTATTTGGCTGCAGATATGTTCTTTTGGCAAATCTGTTACACTCACAATACCTTTATGCCTGTAAAGAAGTACAAAAGGAGAAGAGTACAGTACAATGCAGCATTAAGACTTCTGATTCGGCTACTCACTTGTCGCTCTGAGTTTTCTCGAAGTGCTTCAAGTGTCTTTTCAAGTTGTGCTTTTTCTTTCATCAAATCTTTACTCAAATTTTGACTGTTTTGAAGACTTTGTTTCTCTTGACTAATTTCATTCTCCAGCTCCTCAAGCTAGTGAAGGAGAAACAAATCTTTTCGAGTGTACTTAAACATGACAATAGCATTATCCTTAGCTGGGCTGAAGGTACTCTTATAAAAAGGAATAAAGGAAGTTAAAGGAAACAATAAAATGGAATTTTCTGTTCTTTACCTGAAACAATTAGGAATAAATTTAGGAATAAATTTAATTCTGCCAGAATTTTCTCCCCGGCTCAGAAGACTGTCTCTACAAAGCACTTTTGCATTAAAAAGAATGGCCAGATTTTATTAGGATCTGGGTGTTAATCCAAGTATCTTTTTTCTTTTAAAATTCAATTTTAATGAGATTTACACTGCTTCAAGTCCCTTTTACCTTGTAAGGGTTGAATGTTTTTGATCTTACTTAACTATTTCACGAAATACTTATGACGATTCCTTTGGAACTAAATATACAGGTTTGTTCTGTCAAATGGTTCAAACTTGTAGCTTTGCCAGTGAGCAAAACTGTTTACAAGTGTAAATAACTAAGTGTGATTTTTCCATCACATCTAAGTTATAACTGGTTGCTTACAAGTAACATACATGTTGTACCTTTAAACAATCATCTGCTGGAAGGTTTATATTCTGTGTCAACTCCATCACCCATATTCCCCAATCCTAGAGGAGTCCAGACATAACTCAGACCCCAGGAAGGGGGAATACTTCTAGAAAAAAATTATCCAAATTTTGCATTAAATTGCTGCTAAATAATACTGAGAAATAAATATCACAAAAAGGTAGTAGAATGGGATTTGTTCCTCCATGAAGCAATCTGCTAACTGAAAATATGCAAAAATCATGGCATCAATTAGGTCAGTGCCTGAATTAAATCTTTCTATGAGGATAAGAATATTAATGTTTGACCAGTCCTTTGCTTCCCTCTCCCTATTCCTCTCAAATTGAGATTTTCTTGGTCTCTTGTTTAGCAGACCAGTGCATGTTTCACAGGGATACTGGCACTTTCCTTGATTTTTGCAAAGGAAAAGGAACTGGTTGAATCACCCCAGCAGGGATGCAGACAGACACTGCCTGGGAACCAAATTTATCCATGCCCTTCCCAACTGCCAACTGGGCACTGGGAATGGACTTCGTGTGGTCACTGTCTCTATATCGTATTTATAAGACTCTAGGTTAGCAGGGTTTTTTTAAGAGAAAGCACATCCAGATAGAAATCGACTATGTACACAGGATTCAAAATGGACATTTTGTTCAGCTTCACACTTTTTGTTGAAGTGATCACTGTTCAGAACATTGTTTTTAGGGACAAGTCAGAAAAAGGACATATTGCCAGACACCCAAAGAGGCAAGAACCATACCAGACAACCACAAAGGCCTCCTATTTCTTGCTTCTTATACCTGTTCCTTTCTGTTGTACCCTCCAAGCTGTCTTTCTGGTACTGTACAGGAACTCAAAGCAGCACATAGAAATCAGAAAAAGCATGGAAGTATGGAATACAGTAGAGATTTCTTTCAATTTATTATTTTTTTTTTTAATTATCTCTTACCCACTCTTCTCCAAGAATAGTCTAACATCTGAAACACCCGCTGAAGTAAAAGCTATTTCAGAAACTTTAGACATTTCACTCCACTGTAATTAGTCCCTTTTTTTCAATTTTTACTCTCTATAAATAAAACTGACTAAATTACTCCATTTGATATACATAATTGCAGAGTAAAATATTGTAGATCAGCACAGATAAATCTGACAAAATCCTCTCATTCACTTGCTCATCAATTCCTTGGCCCATCTTTTCCCTTTCTCAGTTATGAATGAGGACACAAAACCAAGTTTCCTGCTTAGACTTATCACTCAGTCTTCACCTATATACACATACTTTCCCCTGCTTAATAATTACAAAAATTAAAATAATGTTCCCAAGTATCATAAAACACTTTCATTACTCATTATTTCCTCAATATGTTAATATTTTTTCCCCTCACTGGTATAAGACCTTTCTGAATAGAATGGTCATATTCTTACATTAAAAAAAAAAAAAAGCATAACTAAAAAATAAAAACCTCTCCAAGGTGGTTTTCTTTTTTACCATAAACTTACAAACACTGTGACATTTAGACTGTAGTAAGACTTTACTGAAAATAACAGCAACTCATAAAATTACCCCTTAAAAAAAAAAGGCAAGCATATTTGGCAACTCTCACGCAATTCAAATATACACTGATGGTTACCTTTTTGCTAAGTCTTTGGTTTTCTTTTTCCATTTTCAGAATCCTTGAACTACTGCCTTCTACAGAACCCACTGCACTCTGTAGTTCTTCCACTGTCTTCAGCAAACTTTGGTTTTCCATTTCCAACTTCAGCAATCTGCTTGACGTCAGTTCATTTACCTCATGACCAAGTGATTTCTGTGGCACTGCAAGAGAAAAACACCATAAAAAAAGAAGAAAAGGTTACTTACTACCTTGAGTTCTTGGACTTTACATTTTCAGACAGGGGATTTAGAAGCCTTTGACACTCCTCCAGTGCCTTCTTGGTGAATAGAGCTTGGTAGGATTAATGACCCACCCTCTTTACCCAACAGTAATACTGCAGATGCATAAAGGAAATGTCCTACCCATCCTACAGTTCCTAATCACAGCAGAGATTTGTTTCCTGCAACTGATGATGTATTTCTAAATCTCCATAAATCCTTTGTATAGAATCCAGTGTATGACTAAGCACGCTATACTGAAAGAATCAAAATTTCTGCCACGCTATCTCTGCAAACAATTACTCTGAGAAGCCTTAACAAACCCTTCTTAACTTTGAGAACAGAAAAGCAAGACTCATGATACGAGCTATAGAGAAGTCTGAATGTCAACACAATGTAGCTCCAAAGTATTTATGGGTTTTATCCTCTGTTTAAGTGAACAAGAATCACAAGAACAAAAACTTTTAATGTAGGATGTATCTCCAAGGATACAAAGGACTAAGCAAAAAAACCAAACACAACAAAAGCAAGCACAAAAATAACCCCCAAACTGTCACATCTCTCCAGAGGATGACAGAACCTGTACTTCAGAAGTCAGGAGCTGTAATTTCCTAATGCTCTCCAGCCTCTGAGCTTTCAATTTTTCTGTTTTACCAGTTTGCAAGTATTACTATGTTTACCTTCAGACAGTTCAGTCGTCCTGTTTATCTGTTCAAGTTCCCAGCCAAGATGCAATGATTCATCCATACTTTGTTTCTGAGCCATTTCTAGAGTCATATTTTCCTCCATGAGTTCCTCAATTTTCTTTCTGTCCATATCACGCTCCTTAAAAATTATTTCACATGTAACTTTAAAAAAAGAGTATGTCCTAACATGCACAAAGTATTTTATTATCTAGTATGCCACAGAGAAATACAAAATGCATTTTCTGATTTGTTAATACACAGTGAAACAGGTAGGAACAGACAAAATCATGACGAACTCGGAAGAGAAGTGTAAAAATCAGTGCAGAAAAATATGCAGAAAAGAACCTCTTCTTATCATAAGCTACAGCAATGACTACTTACTCTTTTTCAAAGTTCAGTTATCTCCAAATATCAGGAAAGAAAGTATGCATGATAAGCACAGATTTGTAGCACACACAAAAACCAAACGGACAGAAGTAAAATTTTACCTTCTCTAAACAATCATAAGCCTCCTTGGATGCAAAAAGTTGTAAAAGGACTGAGTCCACGATGAGAGTGTCTCACCTGGCTCTTTATAAACCCCTCTCCCCACACATGCTATTTTAACAGGAGTAAGTTGTAGCTACAACTCTCAACATTTTGCAGAAAATGAAAGTAAACAGAAGGTAATTATTTGTCAGCCCTTATAGAAAACAAAAAAAAAAATCCATCCAGGCAAATTATTACTTTATATTTTAGAATATTTACTTTTTGGAGAAGAATTAGTTAAAACAAGAAATTACTTGGGGAATAGCTTCTGATAAATATGTCACTATATTGCCAGAATTTGAAATATTAGCAAAGTCTTTTATTTAAGTGACAACAGACTAGCTTCACATAGAAAAACCTGATCCTATCCTTCTTACTAATGAGTTTCTGTATTCATCATCATTTTAGCTATCCAATTAAACACTGTACCGCCTTTAGAAACAGTAGTGCCTTTGCAATTTTTCCTTTCCTAGGCAGAACCGCAGTTATTGTAGGAAACTGTATCTGACAAGTGTTAGTAAATCAAGACATCCCTTCCTTCTCTCCCCCACCATTTTCACTAGAAGGTCTTCTTCTATAAAAATGGAAATTAAATTCAATGCATATCAGTTGCCTTTATCATCCTCCGCTTATACTTACCATCTCCATATCATGTAATTTAGCTTTTAATTGTAGATTCTCTTTTTCTAACTCATGTAATTTATCAGAACGGGCTCGAGTCCCCTCTAATTGATCTTCCAACATTGTCTTTGTTTCTAGCAAGACTTGATTGTCTTCCTTTAACTCCTGCAAGAATTAAGCAACAAAAAAACCTCAAAACAAAAGTATTCCTTATTCATTCAGACTTTGATATGCATCATAACTGGTTTTAGAAACGTTGCTCTAATGCTAAAACGTTCATTTGGAAGCTGTAGCAGACTTCTCATAAAAACTCAAATTTATAGCAACTTCACATAACTGAAATGTACAAAATTTTTATTATAATAAAATTTTATATAACAAGAGAAATTAGAGAGTCCCAAAACCATTAATAATAAATAAGGCCTTACTAATCAAAATCAAACCATAAATATCTCTGTGATTCAATATGTGACCTGGAAAGATGTCTTGCATATATATACGGAGTACAGCTATGCAAAAGGTTGACATGAAATAAAAGTTACAGGTGTCAGGTTCAAAACAAACAAAACTAAGTACTTCACACACCATGTAATTGAATTGTTGAGCTTATTGCTACATGACTGTGTAGACGAAAAGGCTGATGTGTTGACAAGCTATCTAATTCATGCCAGAGAAGGCCAAAAAGCTCACAAGTACCACCTCCTCTGGGTATGATTTTCCTAAGCAGAGACTGCTGGAGGCTGGGAGAGCACAATAGGAAAGTATCACCGAGTGCTTACCCTGTTTTTTTCCTCTCCTCTAAGCATCTACTATCAGCCATTGTCAAAGACTGGAGATGGATGTAGATGCTCCTTTCAGTCCATAATTTATCTTATTATCAAACTGAACTTCCTGATCTTTGGTTTTCAGGAAATGGAGAATAAAACTCAAGAGAATAATTTTCTAGAGGCCATTATTAGGTTTACAGGCCATGGGGCAAACTTGCTTAAGGCCAAAGTCAGGACACGATGCTGAAAATGCAACTGCATTCTTAAAATACAACCAGCCATATTCAAAGGTCCTAAGTAGCTTTAATTTATGTACATAGAGGATTTTCTTTTAATGGCATCTGATGAAAATAATAAAGTGTAAAAACACACAATTGTCAATTTTACTCTTGATATAAAGACAAAACTTTTCAAACTTCAGCATGAAGTCAGCTGCAAAATCTGAAAAAAGATCAGTGAATGTAACATATAAATATTTATCCTTCCTACTCCTCTCTACACAAACACTAAGTTAACTTATAATTATTATTATTATGAAGCAAAAAACCCAACTTAATTAACATCTGTCTCTATTCAAGCATGCTTGAAAAATCAAGAGTTTACAAGCTATGAAACATGTAATAAAAATTTAGGTTTTTTACTAGTTTAAACATTCTATGAAAATGAAGTTTCCACTATTTTTAGATCCTGTACACTAATCTCTTTTCCTTTACCATTTTTTTAAACCATATGCTTTCTGTCCTTCTTACAACAGTAGTACACACCGTTTATAAAGTCATTCATGTCAGATGATTTTCAAATAGCTCACATCAAAGGTTTGCTCATACACGGGCAGAGTGACGATAATGCTCACCACTTAGTGCCTGACTTCCCAACAGACCCCTGTATGCTAACCTATTACATCATACACAGGTAACAGCCAACAACTTCTAGGAAATTTGAGAGCACAAATCACAGCACTAGATTCCTATCACTGAGCTCAAGCTGAACAGCAGCATCTTGTTTAAAGTACATCAAATACTGAGAAAAGATCCAGAGCTGGAAAACAGTTACTAGTTTTGTTTTTATGTGGCACACAAAGGCAGCTTTGGAGCCTCCTCAAGAACAGATGTTTCCATGACAGCTGTAAAGGTCCGTATTTAGTGTATCTTGAGAAAGTTTCTTCAAATTTAAACAGATTATTTCCCATTACGCAGTAAGATGATAAAATTAATTTCCACAAGCAAGGCTAAGAAGTCATCTTGGAGAAAAAAAAAAAAAAGATCTCGTGAACCACAATTTTTGTTAAATTTCAGAAATGTCTAGAGACCTTTTAACAATGTTTAATCTGCACCATGCACCTGATCTCTCACAACAGTCTTTTGTTAATTTTTTTACACTGTAGTCCTCTTGGAAAAACTATTGATCTCATTTTCCATTAAAAAGCTAGTAACTCTCAAGTCAGTTTATATGCTTTATATCTGACTAAAGCTATTAGTAGAACTTTTGGATGAAGGATCTACAATTGTAAAAAGATTTGGTTTTTCCCTTGCAGTTTTTCCCCTCCCGTCAACAGTAGCTTTTAAGTGTAGTAGCTATTTTATGATACATTCATTAAAAGGTTTTAACTTTTACACATTCAAAGAAAGAAGCTGCTTTCCGGGGGATACTATATCACTGGTCTTTAGTATTATGACATTCTTCAGATGCAATTACAAGAATGTTGGGGATATTGTATCATGTCTAGGCAGCAGTACAGTGGGAAGAAAGTTCAAAGGTTACCACAGCTCACAATGTTGGTATGTTGCTCAGGAGTTGCTGTTTTAGAAGTTATAGAGAAAAGTCATCTTTCCACTGTATTCAGAACTGGTAAACCATAATCAGAGTATGATATCCCACTTTAGAGACTCAATTTTAAAAAAGATTATGAACTAAAATAGAACTGAAAAGAACACCTTTTAATGCAGAATGTTGTGGGACTGTAGGGCAGAAAGAGCCAAGACAGTGGACATGTGACATGTCACAGTCTTCAGAGAAGAAAAAGGCTGCTATGAAAGGCTGCTGACACTTCATCACTCAGATCTTAAAGCACCAATTAATGCCCAGCATTAAGAGTGGTACGGGTATATAAAAATACCTTGCTTAAAGCAGAAGGACTGAATGAGTTCCCAAGATCCCATCCAGACCTGTGAATCCAAGAGGCCACATTAAATTAAGCAGTTATGTAAAAATATTCTGTATCATAGTTTAGCCTAATATCTTGGTTTTGCTTTTTGGTCATTTTTACCCTAAAGAAACGGCTTCATACCAGTATCTCAGCAACTCCATCTAGGCAATATAATATTTTTTCCAACAAGCACTGATTTGGAGTTTTCCCTGCTTTTCTAGGAATATTTTTTTTAATGACCACCTTGAAAATTTCTTTAAACTTTAATTAGTTTTGACTCCCACAAATAACTGTTTCTTTCAGAAATTCTGCCATCTTGGCATTTGCCCAACAAATTTGCCATATGCAGACAGAATGATGGCCTAATAAAATCCCTCATGTTGATTATTTGTTTCTTAAACTTCTAATTCATGACACAACTGTAAGTGTCTCTTGCCTGGTGTCAGTGCATTTTTTTAAGTATATTCGATCCATGGAGTGCCATTGTCCTATACTCATTTAAGTGGCTATATGTATATTTCTCCTCCTCCACTATTTCCTCAACACTTTACTGAGAGAAATGCCTTCTCTTAGAAAACCTAGAAGAGGAGAAAGTAATCATTATGTTTATAGCATATTTTTAATTAAATCCTAATTGATTTTGCCAAAACATAGTATATATCCTAAACAGAGGCTCCTACTGGTCTTACTAACTTAGAGGTATGGTGAATACTGCTGACTTCAAATGAAACTGCATGGCATTAAACAGAGGGACTCTTACCTAAAAACTGTAATTTATCACAAAAGACTGACTATCATATATCCCAGAGCAAGAAGTTATAACACTGTTTTCACATCCCAATGTTTAAGCCATCAAAATAACTTCAAAAAAGCCACAGCAAGCAAAAAATGGTTATTCAGTATTTTTTTCCTTAATATACCTCCACTCTAGCTTTGTAGAATTCAATATCATGCAGCCTCTCTTTATACCGGGTGACTTCACTTTCAAGCTTGTCAACTCGAATTGCCTTCTCACGAAGAGCATCTAATTCATCTCTGTACACTCTGGCAGAACGGGCATCTGAGAGTAAATTCATATTCTAGAAAATAAGAAAATACAGAAATTAAAGGCAAGAATACTGGACAGTATTCTGAAATGCTGTCAATATGCTGAAAAATAACACAGCTGCTTCATTATTTAAATCAAGAGTAATGCAGAGGGATAGCATAAGTTAATTCTGATAAAGGTAAAGAAAAAAAATACTACATATTTTAGAGGCTCAGTCCAGATGACATCCTTCCAGGAAAACTGCATTGGCCTTTTTCAAGGAGAGGTATGGACACATTTGTAAATCTCAGAATAGCACATTTCTTTTATAGATAATATTCTCAAATCATTCCTAATAATTTTATACACTCATATTGTAATAGTAAATTAATAAGATGTTCTCCTTCATTATCAACACATAGACTCAAAGTATAAAGAAAACCAGGCAAAATTTGGCTGGACTGTTCTTGAGAAGAATTCAGCACATGTACACTCATAGTATATTACTTGAATATGGAAAGGAAAAAATTAGACAAGAAATACTAACGAACTCAGAATATTTTTCCAGCATACCAGACCAAATAAAGGAATAAATCATAAGGTCATATTCAGTGTGCAAAATGAAAAAAAAATGGATGAAAGCATACTTCCTGATTAAAGAAAAAAATCATTTTGGTGGCAGTAATTTTTTTGCCCACTTTATTTTAAACAAGTTTTACAAAACCTATACCTCTTGCTGAAGTCTCTTTAGTTCAGCTTCCATTTGTTCAAGTTCTTGTTTACAGTCAAGCAACTGCTCAGTCTTTTCCTCACTTAAAAGAGAAAACATAAAACATAGTTACATACGACTGCGAAACTTGATAAATATCATCATCCTGTTTGAGAACAAAATACTGATGTTTCTGAGACTTCCCTTACTTAATCCAGAACTTCATGGACATCAGAATATAAAACTTAGCTATGTCATTATGTTTTAGATATTCTTTAGTCTATATCTAATCTTTTAAATTTGGTCAGACTTTTCATAGTCCTTTAAATTGTCATTCACTATGACTTCCTACTTATGTGGGGCAGAAAACATTAGTGTGTAAAAAAGGATTTTTTTGTGATAAGAGATGTTTTTTGGTTAAAAAGTCCAGACAACACCCATGAAAGTGTTCCAGGAGATTCACATCTAAAAGTAAACTTATAATAACTTCAAAAGGTCCAAATATTGTCCAGGAGAGCCAGACAATTACCACTGACGCATCCTGTCACAGATCATATAAAGCCAATTTTAAAAGCACTTCTGTAGTTTTGTAATTTTTCTTTTTGCTACAGAGAAAAATTATGGTTTTCAGGTGCCTTTACTTATTAAAAGACAACACCACTTAATAACCTTACTAATTTTATGAAATGCATGATAAATTTTAATTTTATGGAAACAACTCAGTGTCTGCTTTAGTCTATTCAGAAATTTGTAATAAAACCAATTTGACATAGAATATTACAATTCTTACAGGACTCATTCCTAACTTCCAGCTAACACTTATTTCTCAATGCTCAAAAAATGAGTTCATTAAACAATGAGTAAGTGCAAGGGAAATACTCCATTCTCTCAAAGACACAGAATATCTTATGTTCAAAATACAATTGCATTTCAGAACAAACAGTATTCATGGCTGAAAAAACCTGCCATATCCAAAACTGTATACCCCTAAAAGATATATTCCATACTCAAACATGTTATTATATTATTTTATATTTTTGAATACAAGTATGAAACAAAACATAAGTAGACAAGAGGGAAATAAGATAATTTAATGGACTGAAATGTTTAACACAATCTAAAAGTAATCATACTAACAAAAATATATTTGTTTTAAACAAAAGCAGAACAGTTATTTTTTAAAATGAGCCAATCTCACAATGAGTGATCTTTTTGCAACCAGACATGGTTTCAGAAATGTCATTGACAGCTACAAGTACACCAGGGTTCATCTGTGTGTAGCTCACTGCAACATCACTCTCCACAGC